TTCATGATGTCAATGCTACAAAAAATATTGATTATTTATGTAGGATACCCACAGATAAATAATTTGGCATAATAAATATTAACAAAATTTTGTAAATGTTTTTTTTCTTTATTTAACAGATCTAATAGTAATCCTGTAATAATGTTCTGGAACACATTCCAATAATAATTTAAATTTATTAATGTTATTAAGATAAAATTATATTTATCATCATCTAAAAATAATGTATTGCATGTATATAAAACAATACAGTTATATTCTAAAAGTTACATAAAACCATAAATATTTTGCATACTTTTATCAGTTATCCCCGACACATTAACACTGGTTTCATGATTAGGGACCTCGTTGTTCTGATCTATATCTATGGAGACGTCTTCAACATAAGTGTAATGTTCCACACTACCCAAGAGGTCTTACACATAAGCGCGTTTTTTTTATCAAGGTGGTTCGCCAGTAGCCCTAATCCACCGCATAAACAATTTTTTAATTAAACAATTATTAACATTAATATAAGCATTTAACAAACAATTAATATATTGTTGTGGCTCCAGTTTTATGTGTTGTACTACCGCTTTCAAAATGGTATCCCTCGACTCTAAATGACTTACTCTATACCCCCAAACAGTTTTAAGTCCCCTGGTAAGCGAATTAGACTTGTAGTGGTGGCAAAACCAGTATTTTACCCATGTAATCCTGCACCAATTTACCATTTTCTGGACAACTTGACCTCACCACCACTTTATGCAAATTGTAAGTATTCAAAATGCATTTCCCAAAAAGGGGACATCCCAACGAATCCAGGGATGTGCTTGGCCAAGTCGTAGTACAATATTTCGATTTTTAATGAATTATAAACCGATTCGTTTCTACCTTAGTAATGCAAAATGCGTTCGCCCAGCACTTATAATATAAAATAAAATTACTAAAAATCCAAATTTTGTACTACCGCTCTGCAAGTAGTATGGTTGGATTCGGGAGGACCTAAGCTATCAGATCATTGCATTGAAAAAAATCCTAAGTCTTTAAGACGGCCGTGCGGCAGATAAGTATGGGATTCCGACTCCCCCGCGCCCGCTAAACTTCCCCGCCCAAAAACTTCCGAGATATTCATTTCCGCAAAAAATTTGAAAGTGGCAAACTGATCAGTGGCACGTGCACTAAAGAATTGTAGTGTTAAATTCCAACATATCACAAAGTAAACGACCCTTACATTCCGGGGGCATGTAGAAACAGACCAGTACCGTATACTAATATATAGTAGTACCCTCCTCCAAGTTCAGAACATATGAGTCAAAAAAATGTAATTAGCCAGATATAAGGTATCAAACGTCGAGTGATTAAGATGATCGGTCATAAGGTTGATTTTATATGATTTTCTAAAGAGGTCGACTCCACCACCCCTTTATGCAAATTGTAAGTATCCAAAATGCATTTCCCAAAAAGCAGATTTCCTAACGAATCCAGGGATATGATTGGCTAAGTGGTAGTGCAGACTCCAGCCGTCAACTCGGTGCCTACAGGGTTCTTCGTATTTTTAAACGAAACTTGTCCACACGATGCGCTAGTAGTAGAGGGAACAGCTGTTTCAGATTGACCTTACCATATGATAAAAGCAAAAATAGTAAAATATATAATAATAGAAAATAAAAATAAAACCGCATGATGAAAGCAGTATGATGGTCACTAATTAGATGTTATAGATGTTTTATTTTTTGTAGTATGTCTTCCAGTAGAAGTAAGGCTATAGTAGCCCTGGTCAAAAATGGTTCAGTAGCCAATGCAGGGAATTTGCCAACCCATCGCAGAGACAATGTGCTGACATTCAACGATTGTAAGTAATATCTTCTACGGATACGATAATTTTTTGTAGTTGTAGGGTAGCTTAGGGGAGTTATGGTAGCTTAGGGTACCAGTAACTAGTTGTGTAAGTTTCAGGACGATCGGTGGAAGGGTTGATCTTACAGAATTTTTGGAATTATATAAAACACGATTATATGTAATATAGCTTAATACTGTACGCGGATCGATGTATAATACGATATAATGGTGTGAACGGGTTCAAACCTTGGTAACACAGAGTCTATAGGTTCCTTTACAGGGTCGCAATAGCTAGAGATGATCGGGGGATGGTCGTTTTTTCGCCAAAAAATCGAGAGGTACCCCCCCGTTGAGAACTTTTATCGTTTGCCGGATGAATCCCGCGACAGACCAACAATGCACAATGAGATCACCGTGTCCGTGATATTTGAAGCAGACTCATCAAACTCGCAGGGACGGTAGCCCAGGGTACTTGCTACGATCTGTGGATGTTTCAGGACGATCGGTCGAAGGGTTGATTTTATATATTTTTTTAAAGTAATTATTGGGTTTGCCGGGTGAGTCCCTGGGTAGACCAACTATGCACAATGAGATCACCGTCTAAGTGATAATTGTAGTAGGCTCACTAAACTAACAGGTATGGTAGGCCGGGCTACTTTCTACGATGTGTGTAAGTTTCAAAACGACCAAAATCTCCCAATATATTTATTTCCGCAAAAATTTGAAAAATGATTAATGCTCAGCGTCTCGAACTCTACAAGTTTGAAGTCTTCAAGTGCCAATTATCGAAAAGGAAAGCATAGGTGCTCGCCGGTGATATTCAAAAGGTTCCGGGATTAATTAACATTATCTTTAATAAGGTTGTATTGTTGTTTTTCTTATCTATTTTAAGTTACATATATAATGACTCAAATATTTATTTTGTGTTCTTCAATTAGCTTCTAAAAAAAAGTCACTAGAATAAAAAATGATATTTTTTTCGATCCACTTGACCCTTTTTTTTTGTTTTTTTTGTTTTAGTTAATTGTCCAGTTGGCATTGATAGAAATGATTATGTTCTTGAAAAAAAATTCAATTTATTACTATAAATTGCTTATTTTGTGAAAAAAAGTTTTCGTATGAACAGACGAAGCTGTACCATTTAACTAATGATCATTTCAAGCAGCGTATTAATGTACCTAGGGAACGGTCAACGGTAAACTATTCATAACTTTTTTAAATAATCCGAGACTTTAATTTTACATTACAAATTTAGTAATAACATTGTCATTACAAAATGGTAATTATTTGTTTTTAATAGAATGCATTAAACATGATTAGTTCGTCAATATTGCAATTCCCCAACGGCGTTATTACATCAACAACCTTATTTCATTATATTCGAAGTTTTGGTTCTAGAATGGAATGCGCTGATGCATTAAATGTTTTATTGATAAAAAAATGTAGTACAATTCAGAATTTAATCGATAAACAACTTGATGTATGTAACAATTATTAGTATAAATTAACAATCACACAAATAACAATAATTATACAATATTTAATAACAGGTACTTTCAAGATTCCAGAATGTGGAAAATATAATAAAGTTTGTACAAGAGGAGGAGCATGAACGATGTGTAATAAATAAAGTTCCCAGTGAAATAAATAAACTGGCATCGAAATATACACTTCTTAAATTTAGTAAAAAAATTGGAAAAAAAAAATTGGCAATTCTCAAAAAACAAACTATCGATATCCTAAATAGTAAACAAACCTTTCAGTATTCAAAATTTTTAATCAATCAAAAACAGCATATTCAAAATCAAAATCCAATTGAACTTCATTCCATTGACACAACCATCACACATAGAAATCTGGTGTTGAATTTACAATAAAAAGTGTCATTAATGAACACATTTGAGTGTAGATTTCCAGCTGGAGTAAGCTTGGTGTTAAAATACTATTAGCAAAAAGTTAAACATAATTTAGTTGACCCAACACTAATTCAGTGTAGAACCAATCATTTACTTGGATCAATTTGACTTATTACTTAATTTGAGATAAGAATCCAATGGTGTTAAAACAACAGCAAACATTAGTTATTATAAATAAAGATAACTTTTAAGGTGCGATTCCTTAGGACGCGTCTGTAGACACACGGCCAATGCGGCTGCCGCAGTGCGTTCGAGATTTTGGACGAGCGGCCGATCACGGATTTCTTAGGATTTAAACGCAGCCGCAAGAGACGCACTGCTCATATTTTTCACACAAAATAAATTGTTATTTGTTTTCAGAGCCCTTCAGTACATTTTCTACGTTTCAACAGTCAACAGTGTATTGTTAATTATTAATTTTATAGTGTATAGTGAATACCTAAAATATTTTATACAGTGCAGTGTAGGACGCAGATATCATGTCACTTACTAATCTGCAGAAAAAGAAGACACTTCTTCTTCTTTTAGAAGAAATAGATGATGAAGAATTACTTATGAAATTTATGTTTAAAAAAAACCAAAATGTCCATGATATGTTTCAAACTAGAAAATCTGAAGGTTTTTTCAGTGTTTTAATTGAGAAACATTTATTCCGTGACCAGAGAAAATTCAGAGAGTTTTTTAGACTCAGTTATGATCAATTCACATATGTTTTAAATCTAATAGAAGATGATATAAAATGTAATGCGTACAACAGACATAAAGAACCTATAAATCCGGCCGAAAAACTAGCATTAACATTAAGGTAAATACCTAACACTTGTTTCAGAGATATGTGTTGATATTTGTAATGTTAATTATATTGTATTTACAATATGTAATTTAGTTAAACAGAATAATATAATTCATATGCACTTTTTTTTTAATACTCTAACCTTGAAAAATAATAATTAAATTTCAACTGATTTTATAGATACCGAATTTATTTATTCACTTAAAAAACATAAGAACATTATATTATCAACTAATAGAATATACATTATAAATACATTTAAAAAAAAAAAAACATTTCACTTTGCACTTAACGAAAAACAAATAAAAAACTTCACCGTTAAAAATATTATTATTAATTAATAGATAACTAAAATTATTTTAAATGTTATGATAAAAACTAATTTTAACATTTAAAAATCAAAATTGCTTAGTCTTGAGTTAACTCAAAAAAAACATATTGAATATAAATCATACAAAATTAGAAAAACTAATAAAAGTATAAAAACTGTTTAGATTTTATACATATATAATATTATGAGCTGATGACCTGACTTGTCGCCCTTAATTATTAGTATCTTCATAATGTTGTGTAAATGGTTGAGTCCAATTTACAGCTGAACTGTCTATATCAAAAGAACTTGACGTAGAATTACTTTGCAATGAACTTGTGTATGAATGTAAAGACTGAATATCTCGTGGACTTGAAATTACTGTTTGTGGAAATATGTAAGTAGAAGAAGAAGAAGATTGACGCTCTGGCTGAATATTTTGTACCTCTAATTCACTGACAATACGAAAAACATCTGTTTTGGCTTTAATTTTCAATTCTGGAGTAAATTGTTTGACAGTTGCAGCAATGCTTTCAAAAAATATATCTATTGGATCTCTTTCATTTGTTTCATATAACTTCTCCAATAACTTATTACGCTCATCGCTTCTTTTATTTAAAGTATCTATAATAATTTCATTTTGTTTAAGTCGTTTTGTTGTTAAGGATACTTTTGCTTTTTTAGCTATAACTTCAGTTGGCTCAGAAAAAGACGTGGATGGTAAATGTTCATAATCTGACTCGATCTGTGATAAAATAGAGTCATCTACTGGCGAATCATGTACTTGGCTACTTGTGTCATCATTTTGTGTTGCGTTTTGATCTTCGTTTGAGATCACATTTGATAATCCCCTAAACAAAAATAATATTAATAGTTGTTAAAGATGTTTTATACTATTTATTATGAAACGTGATGTATGTAGGTATTAGATTGGAATTCAATGAAAACTTTTTGTATTAATTGTAGCGATTCTGAGCGGAAATGATCAGTTAAAACTATATATTATTCTATGATATGATATATTTATATTGATACCTATAATAGTTATTAAAGCTCGAACACTAGTTCTGTATAAAAAATCCTGCTTTCCTCAATTTTACTATGACCTAATCAATATGATTGAATATTTTTTAAATTTTATACTCTTTTTCATTTTCATATTACGATCTATATTAATTATTGTACATATGTCTAGATTGTAATTTCAGATTCTGAGCGGAGCGACGCGCGAATGTATTGATTTTACAATGATGTATCGATTTTACTGATTTTAGATATTGTTGTAACACTAAAACGTAGACACATGAAATTGTCACTGAATATTTATAGTGGCATTTTCTAAACTTGATAATATTTTCAAAATATTTAAACAATTTTTAAGTTATTTATAGATATTTGAATTTTTTCGATTTTTTAGTTTTTTATCCTATACATGTCGATAAAATTCAATTATTGGGTCAAAAAACTTAAATGTTTAATACAAGATTCCCCATATTTTCATATAATAGCCAGTTGTAAAATATTAAAAATACATATGCACGTTTTTTTTTTTTTAGAAACGTTTAAAGTTGAAATTTTGACAACATTTATTTAATTTAAAATTATTCTAATAATCTAATATTAATAGTTAATGTCAATAATGACTTATATTAATTCTTTATGATGTAAATACCTACATAAACCTTCCATGAATGACTGAGTGTGTCTGGTACATAATGAATCTGATTTAATTAATTTGGAATTTATTTTATAGTTGCTTTAATTTTTTTTTTTAAATAATAACAATATAATTAATATAGTATAAAATATCCTAGACTGACAAACTGTCTCAGCTCAGAATCGTTTTTCGTATACAATGATATTATATATCATTGAATTCAAATTTAATACCATCCATTACAGTAACCCACTTTTTATACTCACTAGTTTATATAAGCAAATACAAACAGGAGAATATTTTCCTCGTGATTCTAAGCTCCCCAACTGCGAAAAATCATTACCATATGTTCATGTTGGCGATGAGGCTTTTCGCTTGGAAACTCATATGATGAGACCATATACTAAAGGTGAAGCCAAAAAAGATTATAAGAAAACAATTTTTAATTATCGTTTATCGCGAGCACGAAGAACTTCTGAAAACGCTTTTGGGCTTTTAAGTCAAGTATTTCGTATTTTTACACTCCTATAGCCTTAAAATGTGAAACAATTGATCACTTGGTATTATCAGCTTGTTGCCTACATAACCTTCTACGAAATAGATACATAGAATCTACAAATAATTATTATTACGAATTTGATAAAAACGAAGCTCCCCCTACAAAAAATATGATACCAATTGCTAGATCTGGAGGATTTGCTAACTATGAAGGATTTCTAGTCAGGGATGAATTCACAACATTTTTCTGCAGTACACAAGGGTCAGTTCCGTGGCAAGATCATGAAACTCAAAAAATAGATTAAAATTTATCATGTACACTAAGTTTAGTTACCTATTATTATATTATATTACTTAATATCATTAATTAATTATTTCTTTATGCTATAGTGTAATTATATTATGAAAATGTATTTGAATAAACGTACTTACTACTTTTTTTTAAATTAATTGAAATTTCTTTCCATACATTCTCTCTTATTTGAATATCTTTGTATGATTGATGTATTAAATCAAACAAGCAAGGGTGATTGCTGACCAATTCAACCAACATTACATCTTCTTCGTAAGAAAAAAATAATTTTGACGACATATTGTAGAAAAAGAAGCTATATTTAATTATAATTATTATTTAAATAATAATATATTTGCATATGGTGGCCGCGCGTCTCGTGCGATCTGACTGCCTTCGAAGCGGTCATCGCAACGCGTCTATTGACGCATGCGACTGTCGCGCGCGTCTGCGGCGGTCTAGGAAATCAGTTTATATTTAAAAATAAGTAAAGTAGTATCGGCGCGTCCAAAATCTCGAACGCACTGCGGCAGCCGCATTGGCCGTGCGTCTACAGACGCGTCCTAAGGAATCGCACCTTTAAATACACCAAAATTTGATGTTGGCTTGGAACTAGTTGTTGTTTGTATCACATTATAAGTATTTCATTTTAATCTATAAATAATTGTTTATTCAACCATAACTGTTGTTGAATTTGTTTTATTTAAAGTTTATTTGACACCACTAGATGTGCTTTTAGTGCTATTTTTGGTGTAGAAATCTTAGTATAACTACTTTTGTAGTGAAACTGAGTTTACCGTAGTTGTTAAAATGACATCAACTGGTCTTAACCGGTAGACACCTTGTTGTTAAAAATATAAATACTCAAATCATAAATTTTATATTCAAATATTTTTTATTCAAATATAATATACATAATAGACAATATACAATTTGTAGGTACAATAGGTAATACAATACAAAAATAATTTTTATTAGGAACACTATACACTATATACATTAATGACTTATTTGACATTCTACAACACATATCTTAGAGCGACAAAAAGTTTTCCATTACCTAAAATTCTAGAAACTGTAGGTGTTGTATCTGGTAATTCTGTCACATAATATCCAATAAGTTGGAAGTTACAATTTTTATTTTCTATTTCATATGCTAAAAAATGTGGATCAAATCCAACTGTCAGTAAAGGCTTAACTACAAAATAAGGGATTCTTTTGCTATTTATTAACATTTTATGTATTTCCCCAAACAAACACTCTCCTGATATTACTTCTAGAATTAGTAGCATACCATTTTTGTATTTTATACCTTTATGTTCCAACTAAGTTGGAGAAAATGAATCACATTCTAATTCTGGGGGTAAATCAAAGATGTTGCTTGAATGGTCTTCATAAGAACTAGAGTTAAATTTTAAATCTGGTTGTAAGCCTGTGCGAGAAAAAAAACGATTAATCATCTGTAATTGTATTTTATGAGATAATGTATGGCCCAAGTTAATTCTACATGGTATTGCATTGGCTATTGCTTTAATAGTCTTATGTTTTGCCTCAAATCTTATACTAGATGTTAGTATAAGTGGTCCATTTTTTAGAAGTAGTTGACCATAGTGTAATAAAAAATGGTATTTAGGTTTAAGAGTGCATTTTGATATTGACATTTACAGTTCATTATGTTCAGAAACCAACTTATTTAATTGAACATGACACTCTGGTTGCAAACATCTAGAACAACATACATCTACTATTTTATGCAATAAATTATACAAGTGCCAAACTTTATTTTTTCTTGGTACCAAATCACCTACAATGAGGCCAAAATATCTAACAAGGCATAGCATTTCAGAAGCCGACATAATAATACATCCATTTATTAAATTAGTTGAACTTATTTTTGGAGGAGTATTTTTAATTTCAGTGACTCCATAATCAAAAAGTTCTAACCTATTATTTAAAACCTCAAGTGAAAAGAATTTCAAGTCGATAAGATTGCTTATTATAAGAGCCATATTATATCTGGCAACCCCTTCTGTTAAGTAATGCATGAAGTCACATACTAAATTCCTCGTAACATGATAGCTGGGTACTTTGTTAAAAATACATATTTCTTTTAACACTGTTAATGAATAATTATTAGTATTAATATCAGTAGCATAGTTTATTTCATTTCTAAGTGTTCCGGGGCATTCATTTATCATATTTTGGAGTTCAGATTTTGGAGATCGACAAATGCGGCAATAGAAATTTGAAGAAAAGCTTTCAACAAACCCTAAAATTGAATTAAGTCCTAAACTGTCACCTAGGACTAAACCTAAAGCAAAATAAATATGATGGATTTCTGAATTTACACAAATTGAAATTCCATTTGTCTGTAAATCAATTAATTCATCAATAAGAGCTTTATACATGTTATCATTATTTATTTTATAAGTTCCTCTATCATCTGAATGAAATAAATATGCTACAAAAATATTCTCTAATGATGATAAATATTCAGGAGGCAAGGCAGGAACTGAATAATATACACAACCCATCTTATGTATCAGTGAATGTGACCCCAAGGGGTTACCCAATTCACAGTCATCGTAATATAAAAATAATGGAAAAACAGTTTTATTAGTAAATAAACACCTAATCCTTTTTCAAGTAGTACCATTTAAAAAAGAAGTTAATACATCTGTAGTATTAATAGCTTTGTTGGTAAAATTTAGAGCAGTTTCATATACATTAGGAAGTTCAAAAAAAGCTTTTAAATTGGTTTTTAGTGAAAGTAAGTGTGCTTGAACTGGTACCATCATTAACCTTTCTACATTGGATTTTTTTATTTTTTGTTTTGTATGGCCAACTACAATTGTTTTAGGCTTAAAAAAGAGATTGTTAGCTTCAAAATATTTAATTCTTAAATATTCACTTTTAAAATCCATAAATGCATTTTCGAGAACCACAAACATATCATTTATTTCAGATTTTTCAGAACAATTAGTTAACAGAGGTAAAATACTACTTTTTAAAATTGATATAATATCATTTGAAAATAATTGACTGACTTCTTATATTATATTTTGTATTAATAAACTAGTTAAATTTGGTTTTAAATATAATTTAGAAATAAATTTTAAGATGATTCTTGTAACAACATCTTTAAAAGTTGTACCATCTTTAGAGTTAACATTTTGATTGAAAGTTTCTTCAGTATCAGTTATTATAGATTTAACTTTGTGTTGGTCAAAAACATTTGTGTTTAGTTGATCAGTAACAATTTCGTCAATATTTTCATTGGAATGATTATTTAAAGTATCTAGTCTATGATTTCTTTTTAAATGTTGCCTAAATTTTTCCAATCCGAGTAGATCTCTAAAACAATTTGGTTGTTTACATGTAAACATAGACTGAGGCCCTAAATCATGGAAAACTTTTAAATGCCAGATATAGAGATTGATAGTTGAAAATGAATTTTCTGTACATATAAAACAATTAAACATTTTAAAGTTTTACAAATTACAAATTATAAAATTTAGATAAAATAGTTGATGTAACAGCAGTAGACTTATCAGTTCTTAACTTATACACTTGCAATTGAATCACCATCCATGTGTCATAGCATTCTTTAGGGTAGGCACAGTGTAATGAAAAATACGATTTGAAACATGCGTCTACAGCTCTGATTGGACAGTCAAATGACCATAGTTGTTCATTTAGTCTGACATAGGAAGTGTGAATAGAACTCAAATCCTGTCCAACTAAAACTATATATGGTTGAATAGTTGCCCCAAACTGGGCATACTTTGTACGTTTTTTTCAAATTCTTCGTTTAATCCAGTAAGATTCTGTAAAGTTTAACTAAATTGATTAATCTGGAAATATGTTAGTTTTTATTCATATTTGTTACTTTTTGAAATTAAATTAAAATGATTAAAATAATTCTTATGAAAAAAGTTCTATTCACTGTAATGTTTTGGTATTGTAAAAGAATATGATGATTTTAATAAAAAATGAAAAAAATGTTATATATATATATATATATATATATAATTTAAAATATATTAACTCATAAAAATGCTTTACCCTTAATAAAATATGTATCCATTATAATGGAACCTAAGTAACAATAATAATTCTATAAAATAATATTTATATATTTACTGTAACATGACAAATGAATCCAGCAGCTGATTCTTCTAATGAAGGTTTCCAATTTTTAGCACTTTTTGAACTTTTAATTTGTGTTTTAGTTGGTATGAAGTAAGGTAACAGTTACAACTTTATGATTTCAGATACTTTGAAATCTAAAACAACATTAATTTTATAATAAAACTTTATACAATCTTATCAAAATTATTTAATTATTTTACTAATATTCTTACTTCCACTGACTTCAGAGCTATCCAACTGCACTAGCAGAGAACGGGCGTACTTGTCTTTGATGGACCCCCTTCTTAATGTCACTAAAAATTTAGAAAAGTTTGACCAGACATGATAAAATGTATCCCAATTTTCTAAAGACTTGTACGAATCTGGATAGCCAAGTTTGAAATCTTCATTAACCTAAATTTAATTAATAAATATTATTAAAATTAATTTCTTGATCAATAGTAAATAGTATTCTTACTAAAAAGTATCCATTGGGGCTTTGGATTAATGGCCACTCTTTAAATATTACTGGTAAATCGCGACACAAATTCAAAAAATCAGCTTGACGGATTTGATAGGTTAATTTCCATTCATCAATTAAAAATGCATCAAATGGTACAGATAACCCTTCACTTTTTAACCACAGCTTTGAATGTTCAATATTTTCTATACAAAAATGAATCAAAATGTAAAATACATAGTGACATGTATAATTTTATTTATTACCAGAAAAAGATTGTGCATAGGGAATTGGAACGTCTTTCTTCACACGTTCATAATCTATTGCACTCAAACTCCTTAATTTCCGGGCAACGTTTTTCCATCTTTCTACTAACTTTCTTTTGCTGTGTGTTTGACTACAACCTTCACTCCTGGCAGGTACAAAGTAAATGGTCTATATAAAAAAAAAATATATATAAATGCTTAAAAGTTATTTATTTTAATGAAAATAAGGAAGAGCTATTGAATATAGTTCTATACCTTTACTTCGTTTGGAAATATCTCTACAATTAACTCTGATATTTTTCTAAAATAAAAATCACTTCCTCTAAACATGAAAGAAAAATGTGTTAAGTAGGTAGATATGATTGTTAACAAAAATTATAAAGTTTTCAAAGAAATTAAATTATACAACAAAATAATAATATCAATGATTTAGTTACCTATTC